TTGAGGACTGTTGCTGCCAAAATCAAGGAATCTGGCCTAACCATTAATGTGGAAAAAAGTAGCTTTTGTGTATCTGAAGTGAAATATCTGGGTCATTTGGTTGGTGGAGGTGTCATCAGGACAGATCCAGACAAAATTTCGGCTATCACTGATTTCCCTGTACCTCGGTCAGTCAAACAGGTTAGGAGATTTCTTGGAATGACCGGGTGGTACAGGAAGTTTATCAAGAACTACGCTTCGATTGCCACACCGCTGACGGATCTTACGAAAACTAAACGTAAATTTATTTGGAGTGATGAAGCTCAAAAATCTTTTGAAGCTTTAAAGAACCATCTAAGCACCGCTCCAGTTCTACATAGCCCAGATTTCTCACAGCCGTTTTACATACACTGTGATGCTAGTAGAACTGGTATAGGAGGTGTATTGGTCCAAATAGATGCGGAGGGTGAAGAGTTTCCTATTGCCTTCATGTCAAAGAAACTCAACCAAGCCCAACGTAACTATTCAGTGACCGAACAAGAATGTTTAGCAGCAATGCTGAGCATTAAGAAATTTAGAGCGTATGTGGAAGGGCATGAGTTCACGGTCATCACCGACCATGCGTCGTTGAAGTGGCTCATGTCCCAAACAGACCTTAGTTCGCGGTTAGCTCGATGGGCCTTGAAGCTTCAAGGATATAAGTTTTCGATCCAACATAGGCGTGGGAGTCAAAACGTGGTTCCTGATGCCCTCTCCAGGGTTAATACAGAGGATTTATCAGCCTTAGATATTGCTAATATGTCTGTTTTCGAGATTAGTGATTCTCAATCAGGAAGCGGGTTATATGTTGATCTGGATTCAGAGCATTTTAAGTCCGAAAATTATAAACAATTATTAGAAAAAGTGAAGAAAACGCTGGATACGATGCCAGATTTGAGGATCGTTGATGGGTTCTTATACAGGCGAACAGAACATGCGACAGGAGAACAAGTCCAAGATGACATGGCATGGAAACTGTGGATTCCCCACGAACTTGTCCCCGAAGTATTGGAGCGAGCCCATAACGACCCCTTGTCAGCCCATGGAGGAATCAATAAAGTGTTGTACTCGTTGAGGAAATTTTATTTTTGGCCTAACATGGTGGTTGATGTTAGGAACTTTGTAAACAGCTGTGAAACTTGTAAAGCTACAAAACACCCAAACCAACCACTCCGACCTCCAATGGGAACGTCAACAGAGACCCACAGATTTTTTCAGAAGGTTTACATAGATTTTTTGGGACCATACCCCAGATCAAAAGCTGGTCATATAGGAATATTTGTGGTGTTAGACCACTATTCAAAATTTCCTTTCCTGAAGCCAGTAAAGAAATTTTCATCTGACATCGTTATAGAATATCTTGAGAACGAACTCTTCCATACATACGGGGTACCTGAAACGATTGTTTCAGACAATGGATCTCAATTTAGGTCTAATCTTTTTGCAGCGTTTCTTAAGCGATATGGGGTTAAACATTTATTTACAGCTGTGCATTCACCCCAGGCCAATGCTTCTGAGCGGGTGAATCGGTCTGTACTAGCTGCTATTAAATCTTATATATCTCCCGATCAAAGAAACTGGGACCAAATGTTAAGCCACATTTCTTGTAGTCTAAGATCTTCATTACATTCTGCAATAGGGACGTCACCATATTACCTTGTGTTTGGTCAGCATATGGTAACAAATGGTTCGACGTACCCATTATTACGCCAATTAAATTTCTTAGAGGATAGATCCGTGAGATTCTCTAAAAGTGATTCTCTCGCTATAATGGGCAATAGGGCGAAAAATTTTATGCAGAGGCAATTCGAGAGAAATCAGAAGACGTATAATTTGCGATCCAAGGAGGTGACATATAATGTAGGTCAGGAAGTTTTCCGACGAAATTTTAGCCAGAGCAACTTTAGTAAAGGCTACAATTCTAAACTAGCTCCCAATTTCCTAAAGTCTCGGATTCGAAAGAAGATAGGGAATTCTAATTATGAGTTAGAAGACCTACAGGGCAATTATATCGGTGTTTATCATGCAAAGGACATCAGACAATGACACTTGCAAGCGTTTTCAGCCTTTGAGTTGAAACTTTTCACCCTCAAAGCCTGATTTTGGCTGGGGGAAGTTGTAATAGCGCTTGCTAGTGAATATTTATTTTCTGCTTTTCCTCAATATTGTATAAAATTTTCAAAAATAAATTTTGTAACGGTTTGATGTAAGCGACATCTGCTTTTGGATTTCAAGGATACCAAGAGAAATTTCCTTTTTTATCACTCTTGTTGCTCTTTTACTTTCTTGGAAGAATGTACTAATTGCAATCAATACCAAGCCTTCGTTAGATATCCGTAGGAAATTCTCGTCCATTTTGTCTGCTGCAAGTCCATAAGTGAACATCTATCCACCAATATCTCCAAAATAACAATTTTAAAATTTAACTAAAAATTCTGGTGTTAAAAAAAAACCTTTGAAATTTTTTATTTTTCCATTTTTATATCGTCAGCTGTTTTTTTTTAAACCTTGTAAGTATTTATAGTTTATTTACGAAATGTGTGTAGGCATTTTTTTTTCTTTCTTTAATTTAGTTGCCTTGGATAATTTTGCAACATCCACCAGATAACCTATAAGGTTATTTATCACATTTTTAATTCGACGAGTTCTGCTCTCTGAATTGGTAATTATTGATCTGTAATATGATCAAATGCAATGTCTCATTCAATGTTTCTTTTTATTTGCTAGGCTCAGCTTTTTATCGTTTTGCAGAAGAAACATTTTCGAAATAGAGAGTGAATTAACAAAAAGCTTTCTATGTCCGAATATAATTCTACTCAATGACTGTGATCAAGCAGCCCTAACTCCATTTCAACCGTCTCACATATATACACGCCGTCAGCCTATAACATCAGACTAAACACATTTGTTGAAACACGAAGTAAAAACAAGAAGAAGAAATAATTGGAATAAAAAGCATATAATCGAATTTGTGAAGGAAAAAAAAAGAGTGACCGCCGAATTTAGTGGTGCATTTTTTAGTGGTAACCTGGAAAAATTTTATCAAAAGGTCAAAAAGAGCTGAATAGTGTATGGTGGTAAGGTGGAGAAACTGGCAAAAGTAGACAAAAATTGATATACCAGAAAATTGGTTAAGCTAATTTTTTTGCATTTATGAAGTTACATTATTTGCCGTCAGAATTAATTTAATTATTGCCAAAAAAATTAAAATTTACATATTAATAGTATTTAGTGTTAAATAATTTTGGGTTCCGAGTAATTATTTTATTGAGAAGTAATAGTTAAAAGAACTTGTGCATAAAGAATAAAAAAACATCGTGTTCGTCTGTCTGTTAGCATTGCATTTAACAAAAGCATCATCAAATATACAAACAGCATTACATATAATTGGCATACTTAATGATCATTACAATATCGCTGAAACCTACTGTTAAGTATTTGATGGAGCTTCTGTTAAATGTTAATGTTAATAGACTTATGATAAATTTTAACAACAGTGCCAGTGAGAGGAATTTCGCTGTTGCCTCTGCAAAATCTCTGTCTATTGGCCAAACCTATTAAACACTCGAAACAAATCCTAACAGATAACATCACTCAAGATCATCTGCCTGCAGCTTTTATACATTACATACTATTAACTCTTAAGCGGACCTGCATACTCACCGAAAGTACTTTCGACGAGGGATTACAGCAGCGTACAATGTAAGTTGATAAAATGTTATTTTGTTAATTTTATTTACATTTTTTTTATTGAACGGTGGTAGACAATGCTACCCAACAAACATTTTTGCTGCCATTCAAACATTATCAACTTTATTAAATTTGTTATACATTAATAACAATATATTGAAATGGTTAATAATTGATATTGCAGTGCTATATTTTTGTGCGATGATTTTACATATTTTGAAATTATTATCCTCAATTATCTAAACTGAAATTTCTACCGTTCAGATATATTGTTTTCGGATTTTGTCGGTGTGAATTTTTTATGCTTACATCTGAATATTTGTACTCATTGATATTGCCATAGTGATTGTGTCGTATGGTCTTTGAGCCATCAAAAATTTATTTGCTCTTATTCGAAAATTCCAATAATTTTTATTTGCTTCTATTATAAAATAATACTCGGAATTTATTTCTAATTAGGTTTTAAATTATGTTATAAAATTTATTTCATTTATTTTCTCACGAATGTTTTCGATAATCTAATATAGAATTAAGGTTATTTGAAATTAATTTGTTCTTTATATACTCATAATGGTTAATATGAATAACATAACTTTAAGGAATAATGATAGTCAACTTTGAATTTTTAGTAAATAAATTTGAAATGTATTCGGAGTAGAGTAATATGAGATTTGTTTAATTGCTCCTCTATGTAGGCGGTTTGTTATGATTGAATATGGGGTTGCAACATAAATCATTCTTTATAATTGAGTTTAAAGCGTTGTCACCAGGTTGGGCGGGTATTCTAGCAACATAAAATCTCGTTGCTGCACATCTTTTGGGACTTCTCTATTCTATCAATAAATTTCTCTGATTATTGTTCCTTCTATTTCTGCTTTCTTCTACTCCCTGCGAATCTTATTAAAACCCCTATTATTAATTCCTTACTTTCTTTTGATGCCTATGGTTTAGTAAAAATATGCACGTAATTTTTTTATGTTGTACAGTAGCTAAGTGCCAAGAGGATCGTGGAAGGTCATCGAACTCCCCCTCCGACGAGCAATAAGGCTGGACCTATACGTGCAGTCCCTCCAACGAATTCTTCAACTACATCAGGCACATATTTACTTGGTTATATGCTACAAACTTCGCAATGATGGCAATGGTGGTCATATCTCGTGAGAATTTCGAAGTGATCGGTGTGTCTATCGCGTGTACGCGAAGCAGAAAAAATAGAAATTCAACAATTCAAGTGACTTGCGTGTGCCCGGAAATAGAATTGTATAAGAAAATTTGGTGCCATAAATTTCATAATGAATAAATTCAAAGAAAAAGACGAACGAAAACCTAATCCATTACTTGAAGCCAGTTTCTTATCGAAATGGTTTTTTTGGTAAGGCTGCACAAATAAATATATAAGAAAAATCCGATTTCCGAAATATTCGCATTCGCATAAAAGGATTAACCTCGGTGATATTTATAACGTAACACATCACGTACACATTAAATTAGGGACAGGCAGATCCGCTCGTTTGCGTTACTACTTTCAACGTAATTGTTGATGTTGCATCAAAACTTCTTTACATACTCTTCCGCCAGAGTTTTAAGCTTTTTGGCAAATTGGCATTTAAGTGATTTGGATTCCTGGCCGGAGATGCTAGTTTTACGTTGGTGTCTTGTTGGGTGGAGTACTACGGAAGCCGATAACATTTTTTTCCAAAAATCTAAACTATTATCTTATACTAATTACAAATCATTTAGCCGTTAAAACATAAATTTGTTTTGTGTTAATTATTTTAGCGTCACAAAATGGTTTATAAGTTTTAAGTGTTTATAATCGCTATACTTTTTGTGCGATTCAAGTTTGTTCATTCAACACTAGTTTGTTTGTATTTCGAATAAACAATTGTGCTGTTTAAAATTATCGTAATATTTTTTCTCGGTGAATGCAAAGACGCGATAAGGCTCGCGTATATGGAGTACATTCGCCTGCATGTTAGCAGCTGTGGGGCAGTGCTGAAAATAACTATTGATAAATTATTTTTAACCTACCTGTGTTGTTCTACGTCACTTTTGATTGAGGGGGAAGATTGCCAGTCCTATAAATGTTTATGTCGGTGCCAATTAATCGTGTGATTCATGGAGTCTTTTAAACTCCTTCATATAGATAGCCCTCTCAAAAACGTTACGTTATTACTGTCCTTTAATGTTAAAATTTGGTATTGCTCTATAACTAAATAATCAATTCAATATTTATATATTCATCAAGGTTCTCCAAAATCGCGAGCATAATTTTTTTAAATTCCCGATTAATTTTTTTTATACGACTAGTATAAAAATCATCTGAAAAAAATATTAGCATCAATTAATTTCGAATTTAATATGTTTCTACCGATTGCTTTGGCATAATCACAGAAGTCGGGAACTCTCAGAAGACAGTGCTATCATATATACCAACTATAGCAACTTTATTAAATCCCCTATGGAAAATATTCAAAACAGATTTGCGGAAAATCTAGGTTTTTATCTAAAAAAAAAATGAAAAAAACACCTAACATACATATAAACAAAGTATTTATTTAGAACAAATAAAACAATGGCTGACGGCGACTTAAGATTGTCAGTCAAATGGATCAGTGACTTGTTGTTGATGCCGATTCCTAAATAGTTTATGGCCTGTCATGACCAGCTATTGTTATTGTTGCTGTCGAGTCCAAATGTTATTGATTTATGATGGAGACACGTTTACATGAGTTGATGTGTTGATTTCATGTTCATTATTGATGTGGTGTTCTTCGTTCGCAGGTGGACGCGTGAAACATTCAAGCGGGGCTATAGGGAGCAACTGCAACCGGAGGATTTATATGCACACATCCCCACATTGGACAGTAGAAGTGTCTCGTTTGCACTTATCAAGCACTGGGAGAAGGAGGTGCGGCGAAAGAAACCAAATCTCTTGCACATGATATTCAGGGCGTACGGATGGAAGTTTGTGCCAATATGCATATTATATTCAATACTGGAAATATCGATACAGTAAGTATTTCGAAAGCACACATAAGACCCTACTTTGGTGCATGAGTGTATTCTTATCGCAGAAACTCAAAAAATGTCGAGGAAAACGCAAACAAACATTGGGTGCGATAACTGTGTGCTGTCAAAAAAGTTTTCTGATAATCGGAGATCTCCACTTAACGTTATCACAGAAGTTGAAGGAGTTAAATAGTTTGACCCCATACAATGCACATTAGGGTTATTTTTTCAAAAACGATTTCATATAGTAGGAATCATGGTAGATATGTTTTGTCTAAAGAGAGAAAATTCACCTCTACGTTGTGGGCTTTAAAGTCAGAATAAATAAAAATAAATTCAAAAAGTCGTTTGACATATTTATTTTTTTTTTAAATTTTACTGAAAACGCGAAAAATGATCAGAATGTAAGAGTTTCTTTTCAAAATCTAGTTGGGAATATGATTTACAGTAAGTTTACATTTAATTTCGTTAACCCAGTGGGTTTCAATTTCGTTAACCCAGCGGGTTTCAATTGTCAATTCCTTTTCATATATTTCAAATAAATCCTCATAAAGTAGGTTAACCCGATAAAAAGTTCTAATGTACATATATGCCGTTTTAGATATTGAATCATCTACAAATTATAAATTTCTTCTTACTAATGTTGGAAAATATGTCTTTAAACCAGGCATGCTTACCCATATACACTACCGTAACTGAGGGTCGATGGGTAAACATATGTTCTCTTTTTTCTCTTTACGTCAGTCATTTTTAATGGTCAATTCTCTGTTACGCTCGGACACACTTGCTCTCAATTAATTTTTGCCCAACACTGCTTGAAACAAATGAATTGAAAATATATGTATTTTGTTTCTATTTCAAAACATTGTATTCGAATTAGGCTAATGCTGGGCAACCATGGGAACTGATGCCCTTGTTTTGCATGTATCAATAAGCTCGTTCTCTGCGTTCTCTTTTTGTAAGACATTTCATATGGCGGCTTCTCCTTTACTCTTCTCTCTTTTTTACTCTCCTTTCTTTTTGCACACCTCTAAATTAGGCATAAGAAGCCAAATTATGAAAAAAATTGTAATTTATAAATTGCTATGGCCTATCTTGAATAATTGTACCATGACAGTACTGAATGAGTATTCGCCTATTAATGTTCATAGAAATCGATGAACATTTGCCGTTTTTATTTACAACTCATTGTAGGCATCTTATTTTGAATAGCATTTCTTTGTAATGGACGCTAAAACCTTTTATGATTTTCAAACGGTTATGTCATTATTTACGGCTCTAAGGCTTGTGGATAATTATATACCTGCTTATAATGCCTCAAAAACATTTTCAAAAATTCTCATAAATAAAAAAATCAAATGATTTTGTGGTTGAGTATTTTAAAGAATCACAATTTTCCAATTATTTTTCAAATGTTTAGTTTTCGAAATAGTCAATATTAAGATTAACTGTATATGTACATGTTATTATTAACCTTACTAATAGAGAAAATTAACCTTATGAATAGAACCACAAGGAATATGGACAGGTGTTTGTCATCGAAAGTCGTATTTTTTTTAAATAACTCATTACAATTATCTACATAGGTCAAGTAAGATTAGTGTCTTCAGCTAGAAAAGTATTCTTGCCAAACGAAAAGAGTAATTTTGGAGTTCGGCTGGTCATTTGAACTCCTGGCATCTTCAGTGGCAAATATTTCCAGATATTCATTAGGTGTTGCCTCAACAACACATTAAAACCACAGATATTCTCAAGGAAAATGCGCAAAACTTTTTGGATATTTCAAATATCATATCTATGTATGTATTTATCTTTTAGTTCGTCACAACCATTATTTTTGGGAGGACTAGTATCGTATTTTGCCGAAGGCCAAACTGACATAAGCAAACAGCAGGCCTATCTCTATGCCACGGGTATAGTCGTGTGCTCACTCGTGGCTACTCTCTGCTTCCATCCCTTTATGTTTTATCTATTCGAAGTGGGAACGAGAATACGATTAGCATGCTCTGGTCTGGTGTACCGAAAATGTCTACGTTCTTCAGTGACGGCTGACAACAGAGGCATGAGCGGATTTGCTATTGCAGTACTTTCGTCAGACTTGCCACAGTTCGACATGACCTTCTACTTCTTTCACGATTTGTGGAAGGGCCCTATTGAGGCATGCATCATGGGCTACTTGATGTACTTACAAGTTGGATGGCCCGCAATTGCTGGTTTGGTTTTCATAATCATTTTTATTCCGCTGCAGGCCTGGGCCGCCAAGGCATCTGCTCATTTTAGATACGAATCCGCGGAGCATGGCGACGATCGTGTTAACTTAATGAACGAGATCATCACAGCGATGCAGGTTATTAAAATGTACGCCTGGGAGAAGTCATTTGCGAAGCTGATTGCCATCATACGAAAGAAGGAAGTGAAGGCCATCCGAGGTTCGATGAATATCTACGCCGCTCTACAGTGCACCGACATGATATCGAAGTGCGCACTGTTCATCAGCCTGGTGGCATATGTTTATACGGGTGACATAGTGACGGCCAAAAAGGTGTTCATAGTTTCGTCGTATTACGATGTCTTAAATGATTCGTTGCTGCACTTCTGGCCCTTGGCCGTAACTACTTGGGCCGAGACGGTGGTGTGTGCTCGTCGCGTTGTCATGTTCCTAATGCAAAGCGAGGATCCTGCTGACGGTGGCATTGAAAACTTCGCCATGGAAGACGATGATGACAAGGGTAATTTCAGTGGGCGTGTCCATAACCCTAGAGCTATAAAGAAAGGCGTTATTCTTCACAATTTAACAGCGAGTTGGGACAAGGTGGACTCCGAAAGCCGCCGAAAACACATCGACAATGTCAGTGCAGTTATCAGTGAAAACCAATTTGTAGGTATTGTAGGTAATGTTGGATCGGGCAAAACAACCCTACTGAATGCCGTTCTCGGCGAATTGGAAATAGTCAACGGCAACGTCGAAGTCAACGGCCAGCTCAGCTACGCACCTCAGGAAGCATGGATCTTCGAAGGTAGCATTCGTGATAATATTGTGTTTGTGGAAAAGTTTGACGAGTCGCGCTACAAGGCAGTGCTTCATGCATGCGAATTGGAGAGAGATATTTCGCTGTTCCCCTATGGCGATTCCACAATTGTGGGTGAGAGAGGCATTAGCCTGAGCGGCGGTCAAAAGGCTCGTATAAGTTTAGCTCGGGCCGTGTACAGAAAAGCGGACATATATGTCTTCGACGACCCTCTATCAGCCGTGGATTCACACGTGGGCCAACTCCTACTTAGAAAATGCTTCAATCAGTTCTTAGCCAATAAAATACGCATACTGGTCACGCATCACATTCATCACCTCAAGAACAGTGATCATTTGATTCTAATGGGGGATGGTCGAGTCATCGAACAAGGTCCGTATGAAACACTGAAGCACAGTATCGTGTTCCGCGCCCTCTTGGAACAGGAGGAGGAGGAAAATAATTATGTGATGAAACATAGGGCCAGTATTATAGACACCGAAATGAAAGACTCGAAGGAGACTATCGGGCGAACTACCGCACATGACAAAGGCGAGGACCGCAAAGAGAATCAAATGCAGGGCTCCGTCAGACTGCACACATATCTGTCGTATTTCCAGGCACTTGGCATGCCTTGGGTTATTATATTCGTATTTATGTTGTTTATAATGGCCAGGGCTTGCCAAGCCCTCATGGACATATTCATTTCGCGGTGGTAAGTACTGCGTTTGTATTGATATGCCGCTTTTAGAAACTGGTTGTTTTTTTTCAACAGGGCCACATGGGAAGAAACGCTGCCCTCGGAGCATGACGCCTATCAAGAGTACACGGCCAAACGTAAACGCATGGTTCTCATCTACTCCATACTGATCATATGTACATTAATCCTATACATACTGCGCACATTTGGCTTCTTCATGATATGCTTGAAGATCTCTTTGCGTCTGCACGACAGTCTCTTCAATGGTATAATCCGTTCATACATGTATTTCTTCAATACAAATCCCTCGGGGCGTATACTGAACCGATTTTCCAGTGACATATCCAACATCGACGTTGCCCTACCACAGGCAATGCTGGACTCTATTTCGGTAAGCACGACAACTGGGTAGCACATGTGTATATTTTAGAGGAGGATGTTTGATGCCTGTTCCAGAACCTGTACGAATTTACAATTTTTTATTTTCCTTTCAAAAAAGGTAGATTCTTGCAGACCATTAAATTTATGTCGGAATCATGTCCCGTACTGAGTGTAGAATTGTGTGATGAAACACCTCTTACATATATCCAAAGTGGTGTAGTAGGCCATGTGCCTCCTCGCCTTACTTTTTTCTTCCAAAATTACAGATTGTGTTTATTCCAGCAATATTGTATTTATTCCAGTTTATCGTCAATGCAGTCGCCGTATTGGTCGTGGTTGCAACGGCTAACTACTGGCTCCTCATTCCGGCATTTATAATGATTCTTTTGTTGTACGCTTGCCGTGGGCTATACATAGGAGCTAGTCGCAGTTTAAAACGAATCGAAGTAATGAGTAAGTATCATGGAAAATGTCACAACTTCAAGTTACATACATATGTATGTACATACATATGCCCTTGGCACAAACTTTGAGGAATATACATATACAGTGAGTGTAATAAATATTTTGCCTCAATACAAATTTGACAAAATTCCAATATATACGCCTAAAGCCAGCATACTAAAGATGTAAAATGAATTATGTATGATGGGATATGTTTGTGAACATATTTAGTTCTTATTTCTGCAAGAATCACTGCGAAAGACCTATTGGTCTAGAAGATATGGGCCAAGATCTATACCAACCCAAAAATGATTATCACAAAAAAGTATTTTGCTTTTTATTATTATTTTTGAAAAAAATCATTATATAACATACGCTTTGTCTTTTTATAGTTACCATTGTCGGTAACCACATACTAAAAGCGATTTGGCGATGATTCCAATAAACCACGGCATTTTTTCGCGAATATTTTCTCACATTTACGTTCACTACATTCTCCAGCAATATTTCTTTTAATATTTTATAATTTCTCGCCCTAATTTCAAAATGAAAGTATTAAATATAGTCGTCGCGGCTTCAAAACAACCCAAATAAGTTTAGAATAATAAAAAGGAGGTTTTGCAAAATATATCGCGAGGACAGGACCTTAAAAACTTTTAAAACCAAAATCCGACAAACAAATTATTTAAAAAATATATCGCGAAACCCCATTTTTTTGACTTTGAAAACTTTATGGTCCATTAATATTGATCTAGGAACCAACAAATGCGATGAAAATAGCTATAAGGAGGACAGATTCAAAGATATGAACGGTTTTGTGGCAATAGAAATACATCTTATTTCGAAAATAAATAGATCGATCAGTTTATTCACTGCTGTATTTTATTCGCAACTGATGGTGTTAAACGGATGTAAAATATTGAATGCGTCTTCGTCACCAGCTACCACAGCTTTTCAAAACGCAATAGTATTTGACGACGAATGATGTTTTCTCCCAAATTCATGTACTGTTTTGTAGTTTCTGTTGTTTTAGAACTGTTCATATCTTTGAATCTGACCTCCTTATTGCTATTTTCATCGCATATGTTGGTTCCTAGATCAATATTAATGGACCATAAAGTTTTCAAAGCCAGATAAAGGGGGTTTCGCGATATTTTTTTAAATAATTTGTTTGTCGGATTTTGGTTTTAATAGTTTTTAAGGTCCTGTCCTCGCGATATATTTTGCAAAACCTCCTTTTTATTATTCTAAACTTATTTGGGTTGTTTTGAAGCCGCGACGACTATATTTAATACTTTCATTTTGAAATTAGGGCGAGAAATTATAAAATATTAAAAGAAATATTGCTGGAGAATGTAGTGAACGTAAATGTGAGAAAATATTCGCGAAAAAAATGCCGTGGTTTATTGGAATCATCGCCAAATCGCTTTTAGTATGTGGTTACCGACAATGGTAACTATAAAAAGACAAAGCGTATGTTATATAACGATTTTTTTCAAAAATAATAATAAAAAGCAAAATACTTTTTTGAGATAATCATTTTTTGGTTGGTATAGATCTTGGCCCATATCTTCTAGACCAATAGGTCTTTCGCAGTGATTCTTGCAGAAATAATATCTAAATATGTCCCCAAACATAACCCATCATACATAATTCATTTTACATCTTTAGTATGCTGGCTTTAGGCGTATATATTGGAATTTTGTCAAATTTGTATTGAGGCAAAATATTTATTACACTCACTGTACATACAAATATAAAATACAAAATTCGTTCTTCATATGAAAATCGGAATTTTTAAATTATTTATTAGTCCTAGACGGATACAAATGTGCATCCACAAAGGATTATAGTCTATTTCTATCCTAGACGGATACAAATGTGCATCCACAAAGGATTATAGTCTATTTCCGTCAGATATTAAAACAAATTTCCAACGTCATATTCCAATTAAATTTGAATTTAGTTATAACTGTTGGACAAATAACAATACAGAACAAATGACTCGTTTATTTTGAAAGTGGTTCAAGTCCATTTTAGATTTTTGTACACATCTTGGATTTCTAATACATTTTACTAAACACATTTCGTTATATTAGCAAACATGTTGAGCGGCACAAAGCCTCAAACAAAATTAATAGCCCTTAACAATATTTTTTGAAACTAATGAAACACAAACCATTAAATATCTCAATAAAAGAAATATTGACTTAAGCCACTTTCAAAATAGGCGACTCAACTGTATTTTGATTTAATAGAACAGCTGGATCCAACTTCCATAGTTTTTTTTTTTTATTGTAAATTATAGTTTGTCATTAACAAAAAATTAACGGAATTTTGATGTGTTATCGTTTTTTATTTCCTCTACAATTTCAGCACGTAGTCCCGTCTACTCCCATACGAATCAAACATTCCAGGGTCTAACCACCATTCGAGCCCTACATGCCACCCGGCATCTGGAGGCAGAATTCCACGATCACCAGAATAACAATACGTCTGCTCTATATCTGTATGTGACAACAAATCGGGCATTCGCCTTCTGGACAGATCTGATTTGTGTCCTCTATATACTGGCTGTAACATTCAGTTTTCTGCTCATAAACCAAGAATTCTACAGCGGTGATGTTGGTTTGGCCATTACGCAGTCCATGTCATTGGTTATAATGTGCCAGTGGGGGATGCGTCAGACGGCAGAAATGGAGAATAATATGACGAGTGTTGAACGTGTTGTGGAATATATCGAACTTCCCACTGAGCCCAGTTTGGAAACAGATCCGTCTGTTAGACTGCCAGAAAGCTGGCCAGCCCTGGGACGCATACACTTCAAAGATCTCAAACTGAAATATTCCGAAAAGGGCGACTATGTTTTGAAGGGTTTAAATTTCTCGATTAAACCCACCGAAAAGATCGGTATTGTCGGACGAACGGGTGCCGGCAAGTCGTCGATAATACAGGCGATTTTCCGCCTGGCTAGAAATGACGGTCTTCTCGACATTGATGGCTTCGATGTCGAAAAGCTGGGTCTACATGACCTACGTAGCCGCATTTCGATAATACCACAAGATCCAGTTTTATTTTCGGGAGCACTGCGATTCAACCTCGATCCGTTCGATGAAAGGACTGACGAAGAAATTTGGCGTGCCCTGGACGATGTCAAATTGAAAAGTTATGTGAAATCACTCGAGGGAGGATTATCGACTCGTGTGTTTGACGGCGGTTCCAACTTTAGTATGGGACAAAGACAGTTGATCTGTATGGCGAGAGCAATTCTGAGACACAACAAAATATTGATAATGGACGAAGCTACGGCCAATGTTGATCCAGAGTAAGCTGATTCACGTAGCTATTGTGAAGAGAGCACTCCACTACTTAGAATATACCTTTTGTTTATTTTCAGAACGGACAAATTCATCCAGGAGGCTATTCACACCAAGTTCGACAAATGTACCGTCCTAACAATCGCTCATCGTTTGCACACAGTTATGGACAATGATCGAGTCTTAGTTATGGATGCGGGCAGTGCAGTAGAACTTGGCCATCCGTATCAGTTACTCCAAAATCCCGACGGACATCTGTTCAAATTCGTAGAGAAAACAGGTCCCGGAACGGCCAAATATTTACATTACATTGCTGAGCAAAGCTACAAAAAACGGGTCACAAATAAAAAATCCGAATAGTTCTATTAATGTTCACTCGCGTGCATATGTATATAATTGACTCATTACTTTAGGGTATATAGTGTATTTATTTTAAATATTAATGACATATATTAGTTCATGCTAATAAAACGACAAAATGCTACGGCAATTATAAGATCGGTACGAACTGTTTTCGATTCTTTATTAAATAAGGAAGGAAAGTTCTTTTTACGATGCTACGTTTAAGTTCTCGTATTACCTTAACCGAACGTCATGTATTGTCCCACGTATATGCTTGGAAATACCAATCTGAAAAAATCGTTATATGGATATTTTTTTTATTTCAAAATCCACAAGAATCAAAAATCGATTTTTCAGTACGGGAACAAACCAATAGTAAACGAATTATTTTGTTATGTGTATGCGATTCGACTACTTACCGTCCTCGCAAATTTAAATAAAGTATTCAATTTGGTTTTGGTAAGTAAGGTATGGTAGAGTATTTAGTTTATTATAATAAAATGAGTTCTTCTTCTTCTTAGTTCGTATTTTTGTTTTAGTTTGCAGTTTACGTTTTAAATATAAATGGCATCATTTAGTATGTTCACAAACAAATTGCTGTTCTATTTATAATAATAATAATATTTGTAATATATTTATTAATTGGTTTAATTTTATATTGCTAGTTGTTGATTCTAGATTTGGTTTTGGATTGGATTGAAGTGAATTGAATTGAAGAGAATGTAATGGGTGTGTTGGATGAGTTGCCATTTCAATTTTGATCGGAATAAACTACAATCTGCGAGCTAAGCATAAGGCTGTTTGTTGTTGTTGTTGTTTTATTTGATGTTTCAATAGAAGACTTATAGTAAATTCTTCGAATTTGCGAAATGAAACTCAATGGAAAAAGTAATATGTGTCTTAATTTTGGAAGATGTCTCTCCGGATGAGGACGAGTGGTGCATCTAATCTCCGTCAAATACAGAATTTGTGTGTGAGTCCAGATTGCTATGCCTGATGTTGTGTGTTTATTTGGAGGAAACACAAGGATCATTGTTGCCATAGCCCGTTCTCTTCAGTAGCATCATCGCTATTATAGCAATTGTGTCTATGTTCGTATGAGTATGAGTATTACTTTTAATTACACTACTGACTAAATTTGAAATATATTTGTAGGTATGTTCTCTAAACGGGTCCTAAGTATCTGTTTGTCAAATCTTAATTGTATTAAGCTAGTAAATATTTGTAATTGTTCTCTATACTATAGTATATTGGTATGTAAAAAAGATGTGTTGTACGATTGTGTGATCGATAGATTCAAAACAAGATGATTTTGAAATTCTTCCCCAAACTTCAAAACCAATTTCGTTTTAATCAAAAAAATGTTAATAGCAAAGCCTCTTCTAAAAATTCGTTGAATATTAACTAAATCACAAATTTGTATGGGATTCCACCTATACGTATGTATATACCCTATTCAGATTTTCAATACAGATTAATGTAAGTATGTATATTAGCATTTCATTGCTAAGTATGTCCTTCGTGGGAAATACTAGATCATTTCGAGTATCCCAACAATCGAACAATTAATACCTTCCCCGTATATTTATTAAATTGATCGATTGTCAGGCATTTAAGAAGTTTGTTGAATAGCGATCTGAGCGATCCCCTAATGCACGAATGCCAAACTCAAATACTTGTTGCAGCCGGCTCTAAGTCGGCATATCTCAAATTGTTCATAACGATTATCTCATGATCTATCATAGCCAGAATCACATTTGCTTGCAAATATATTCCGTGAAATCGAACCAACGAAACGTTTCAATTCAAATGTAAGATTGTGAGTTGTTCGCAGTCATCATATCGGGGTATGCGTTTATATATGAATGTTTTTGTAAATGTGTGAGTGTGTGTATGCATTAATTTGTTTGTTTTTCTTGACTAATTTATTCCCTATGTTATTTCATTTTGATGTGTAGAAAATAAATTTGGTTTTTGTTTTTGTTTTGTTTTGTGGGCGAAAGTGTAGTTGGCTATAAGGATCGTTTTTTTTTTTAATTTTAATAGCTAATTAAAAATAGTTTTATTATATAAGAATGTATATATGTGTATATATATTGTTTGTATGTATATCAGTAGTATATAATGTATAGAGATCATGTATAATATAGAGGGTTTAATGTAAATATATATTTCTATTATTTTTTTTTTATTTATGTCTTTGAAAGTGTTTAGAGAGCTTTTGGGCGCTTGTCGTTTTTCTTTATAGTCTCGACATTATAAATATAACGATTTATCAAATAATGATTGCGTTTAGAGTGCTTCTCGTTTGTAATGTTCATATTGTTTACACTGAACAACGGAATCGAGTGACAATAACATAGTGAAAAACGTCGTTTGAAACGCATATTTTGATTCGAAAATATGGTCCCGAAGTTTGTGTTTCTATATTATGGTTACGTTACTAATTGTTATACAAAAACAAAAAAGAAAATAAATGATTTTTCGTGCAAAAGTGTGAGAGGTAATAATGAGATAAATGCCATGAAGTTTAAGCGTATTATGGTGATGTTTTTTTTTTTTTGGTTTAGTTTATGAATTCGTTATGTTCTAGGTCTTTGTTACTAGCCTAGGAGTGTCGAAAAAGGAAAATATTCTGATAATATTACAACCCCCAAATGTTTGTCTAACTGTGTGGTTCCTTGTGTCTTTAAGGATTCCTTCATTTGTAGGTTTAGCTATGTATAATTCAGATAGAGATTCAAATTGAATTTCCATTGCTTTGAGATAGTCTCTGAATTGTGTGTACATGTGTTTCGATAATTATAAATTAAATTGTTTTAAATAAATTAGCTGGTTTCTTTTTTCTCTTATAATGAATTTGTTATGCAATGTTTTTTATAATTTTTTTATCAGCTTTTCTTGTTTGGTGTAATAAAGGCAATAGTTTTTGTTTTCTTTTTTGTGATTGTTTAAAATGTTTAGTTTTTAAAAAAGATGCTTTAATTAAAATTTAAAAAATGTATATTATATATATATGTTTTTTTCTTTTCTTTTTTGTTATACGTTCTTGCTTGTGTTGTCATAAACGGGTACGAATATTTAAAATTCCAACTTATCAATGACCCTCCGTTACTGGTAGTTGCGAGGGTCCGCTCTCACGTCTTATTTATATTGCATATATGTCGTCTAACATTTGAAAAAGTGTGCATAAATCTTGGGATTTCGTTATAATCGAACATAGAAGTAGATTAATTGTTTTGTTTGTAATTAATTGCTAAGTTTAAAGCATAATCCATTGGCTGTATGTGTATATGTGTGTATGTTGGTATTGGTAATGACCATTTGTGTGTCGGTTGCACGCAAATAGTTATGCATGCTTATATGCTCCTTGTGTGTGTGTTTCCTGTTTCTGTTCATACAGTTGCGGTCGCTCACTTCTCATGCTCGATAATGTCCACGGTGACGCTTTCAGCAACTGGATTTGCGATTATGTTGGGTTGTTGGACCAACGGCTGAAGCGTTGCCTCAGGTGTCGAGAGATGCTGGGCATGATGTTGTAGATGGGGATGATACGTGGAACCTTTTCTCTCGTGGTGTGCATTATTTATAGCCGGCGAAACGGAGTTACTCCTCGTAGATCTCAACGAAGTGGCTGAAGCATTGCTGCCGTGGGAGTTAGAGCGTGAACCTGAAAATAAATAGTTGTTTTGTATTTTGGAAAAAACGAAAGTTATTACATGTCGTAATTATTTACATTTATTTATCAAATAAAATCTATTACTACGATCTACAGCTACTGGTAAAAGGACACATATTTACACAATATCTCAAATTAATTAAGTGAATCGCAAACGAAAAAAGAACAAAGAAGCTCTGCAAAAAACAACTATGGAATACCAAAAAGATGTGTCATATAATTTTTTTTTGAAAAATAATAACAACAGCAATATATAAAAGCGTTTGTAAGACTGCCCGTCTAGTATAGCCTTGGTTCAGTGTGGATTGAAATTAGCTTGCACTTCTGTTATGACCACCAGAAAGAGTTCGATAAAGTTTATATGGAAAATTACAAAAACCTTTTAAATTCCTTCAAACTGAGGTTTGCATAGCTTCTTTCCAATTGGATTCCAAAGACGAAAATTTGGTGCGTACATTTTTATAAACAAACCAATTTTTTGAGTCTAAATTTAAGAAGGTCCTCTCAAATGCCGACGGATATAGGTACCTTCAATGTAGGAAAAACTGCATTTTTTTTGAGTAATTCGTGTATATAATCGCGTTTTTCATCGAATTTATTTTAAGTGCATTAATGCATGTATTATCGCATTCGCGAATATGTGTGAAAATAGGTCAAAAATATATCGATACGCGAATAATATGCGGCATATCGGCGGTTCTTAACCAATTCTCTTTAAATAGATGCACTTTTATGTATTTTCATTGGACATTACTGAAATCGATGCGCATAAAAATTGTTTGCACGTTGCGTCATTTTTATCCATTTTTAAGGTTTTTGCATAGTAAAGTGCATCAAGCGGCACACTTTGTCCGCAAAATGAAACCTCGAAAAATTCTTAATTATTGGAAGAGATTGATTCGGTGTATACGGAAACCGCATGCGCATCAATTGATTTCCACGAATACGCGAACTGTATGCTTATTAATGTTGATCATTTTCATATACTGTAACTGCAATATATTTGGTTATTTTTAAAGTCAAAACTCTTAACAGAGGAATCTACCGATAGTTAACAATCATTTAAGGGAACCCCCCATTCTCGATTTTTTATTTTTAAGATTTTAAATGGGCTGGTAAATGAATACCAATGCTTGTTAAGGTTTGTAACTTGGCACATATATATTTGAAGATTTAAAAAGGAAGAAAAATAATTTACCAAAATTTTTTGTTGTTGTTTTGTTGTTGTTTTTTGGGTTCAAAGAAAAGTCCTTATTTTCGATGGCGGGCATGATAACTCCTCATTGGAACATCGGAATCCGAAAATTCCAACTGTGTTAGAAAGAGGACATGTCTGGCTCTCGTATGAACTAGGATTATTGACTTCGCACAACAATTAACAAAATGGCGAAACTTTGAAAATTTTTTTATGGAAAATCGCCTATTTTTTACCAAAAACTAAGTTAAAAAATAAGGAAGATCTTCACCGATTGGCTTTATCCTAGTTCATACGAGAGCTACACACTCCCAGAGAAACGTGTCAAAATTTTAAACCGATTGGATTACTAGTTTTTGAGTTATCGTGCCCGCCATTCGTTTTGAGAAAAACGCGTTTAAAGTTTGAGAGACCCTTTAGCCGTCACTTGATGCTGACACAATAAATCGACTATATCTTCAAGAGTTCTTGAGATTTTTACTTGAAATTTTGTAGGAACATTCTAGAATTAGAGTAGATTCGAATTAAATCAAAAAAAAATTTTGACACCGAGAATGGGGGGTCCCCTTAAAAGAATTTGTAGAAGAAATCGTCGCATATTTTAGAAGATTAAGGCGAACCCGTATTCCCTTAACCTACCTAAACAATTAAAAAAATTAAAATTAAAAAAACGTTTTGTTTCAATTAAAAAATTAATTTATTTTATTTTCAGATATTTTCATGCTTTTATTGTTTTTCGCGACTATTAAATAAAGAAAGCAAGTGTGTTCAACCATTTGTCAAGAAATTCGCGTATTATAACAAATAGGAATTAGTTTCATTTATATTTGAAATACAAAATTTAAAACCGATATAACTTTTGTGCGCAGTAGACGAATTTGTGAACGCGAACAGATTTCGAATCGGCACATTTTCCTTAACCCCAGTGCCAAAAATCATGAATGTGCACGCAAACAAATTTTAATTTTTTTATGGAATTTTAAAAGAATTTTGAATTTTAAAGAATTTTGTAATTTCCTATATTTATTTTTCACGACTGTATTAAATGCAAATTGCAAATATTATTAATATATAGAGTAACTTCGGGTAATGTGGACCACCATTTTCTTTTTTTATATTGTGGGCGTAACAACGGTAAAAAATAAAAACACAATTGTTTTCACAACATAGTAGATTTTTTAGCTAAATATATTCTAGGTCAAACATTGTATATATTTGTCTATAAAAATGTTATTGAATTGTATTTCAAAAAACTCAAAACTACGAATAAAAATAATTTGGCGGGTAATGTGGACCAATATGTGTGGGTAATGAGGATCAGTAAGTTAAAGGTAGGTTGTGGATTGTTGCGATAAATTTCAATTTTTTGCACTCTTGAGTAACAATGAATGCAAAAGTATATGGGTTCATGTTTTGGAATAGCCCCCTTTAAAGGTACCGCCCCATTTGCGGTATTTTGAAGGTCCTTGCTTCATTATCCAACCGAAGCACCTGTAATTTCGCATATCGGGTTTTTAGAGGAAAGAATACCTCCTCGACGCTCATGCGTCGAACTCGGTCCACATTACCCGACATTGAATATTTTTATTTAAAAATAATTACCGGCTTCAAAAATGAATAAAAATCAAAAATCACCGATTGTAATTTCAGCAAAACGTATATTTTTGTTAAAGAAAACAAGAAAACCACATAACATCTTTATATTCGAGAAAAACAAAGAATTCGACTATTTTGCAAAAACGTTCGACTATTGTGCTAAAAAATGCTCGAGACACATTTTTACAATCAGAGTTAAAATTTCTACCACTGCATTTTCAACATTGCAATTATTTATTAAAAACCTAGTTTGATGTTTGTTTTCACTAATTAGGAAAACACTTATCAAGACGGCATTAACATACATATTTCAAGCATTTTCTTTGATATGGGGGTTGGTCCACATTAGACGCATAGTCCACATTACCCGAAGTTACTCTACATACAGTACACAGTTCGAGTACATTTACATCTTTGTTCCAAAACGTGTTAAATAGTTACTGGTAAAAAACCATCATACAAACGGATGATCTTTAACTTTTTTTACCAGAAAGACAAAAGGTTTATCTCACCTCTTTTAACATTTAATGCTCGTCAATATCTATATCGCTCATTTGCTGCAAGAGAGGCATAACTCAAGAAACGTGATTTTCGAGTTAATGATGCACGATTGTTCGCCCATTTTGTGTAAAAAAATTACACACTCTGTTTTGCAGCAAATGAGCGATGATTTCTTTTCATATCCAACGATTTGTATGAATAAACTTGCATAAACTGTTGCCGAGTAATTCTTTCCACAAACTTCGAGTAGCACAACTGTAAAACAATGCTCTCCCAACTTCTTCTCTCTGACTTATCGAACAATTTGGGCATATTGCTAAAAATGTATGGACCGATCATGACAAATCTAACAATCGTGCGTTTGTAAATGTCTTCCAACACATTTGCAACATTACTATCACTTTTCATCGATGAAAAGTGAAAGCCGATGAAAAGTGAAAGTTTCACTTTTCATCGACTACATCGGCGATGAATTTTCATCAACTACACAACCGGTAATTTTTTTGTGTCTCGAGCCTTAAAAATGTAATTGTCAAATTTTCAACTACGTTATTACGCAAACTAAGTCATTATATTCATTTTTTTAATTTAACTTTTTATATTTTTTGCCTTTGTTTAGAAATAAAACCACTTTTCACTTAAAAGTGGTTAAAATTTGAATTAAAAAAAATGAATGATGTATTTTTTACTTAGATTTGTCAAAGAAGAAATCTCTTTCCGAAAGCTATCATCGCCATATAAAATTCGCCAATCAAAAGCATGGTGGGTAGTTTGATAGGTAGTCGATGAATTCATCGACGTATAGTCGATTACAGTTACTGCAGGGTAGTTACTCAAAGTGTATTTAATTATGAAAAGAAATGTAAAACATAATGTACTGGATGTACGAAATCCACTCCATCCCAAGTGTCAATTCCACACTGGATTTATGAATAGGATTTACATATTTCCTGTGGAGTTCACATTTTAGATTGCGTGGATTTCGTTGTCTTAACGCTCTTATATATTGAAATGATTTGTTTTTTTTTTAATATTTTTTAGATAAAATACGTTTGATGCAAACACTTGGAGAACATTGTCGGTGTAAATGTACATATAGGTTAGAGTTAAACTAAAAATATTGTTCGGGAAGTGTTATTAGTAGTTGGTGATTGGAGGCGTAATTTTGTCAATTGGTGTCTTCTGAGATGAGGGTGGCTGTAGCGGTGGGTGTTTATTCGTGTATACAAACTAAAAACAGAGTTCACATTCGTAGTGTGTGTTGAAACTTAGGGACACAGTTTTGTCACTACAATAGCTTGGAAATATCTAGCTACAATTCAGCTAAAGACTACTACGTGGACACTCTACAGAGAGAGAGAGAGAGAGATCAATAGATTTTCATAGGGGAGTAGGTGAGAAACTTCTACTTGGTTTTGTTGAAGCGAACCCAATGGAACGCCATACCTCGTATCAAAGACATCATGTCCTATGGGGTGTTTGCGTTGATGATGTCGCCTCTACCAACCAATCACTGTGGTTAGGTAATGACGGTGTCGGTAACGGTGATGGGCATGACTTTCAATATTTATTCGGTTTCATGTTGCCCGTAGACGGCGGTGGCTTTATATTTGTGCTACAGGCTGTGCCAGTCGTTGGACTCTGACTGGCATAGGCTATATTGGTGGTCAGTGTTGGTGTTGGTGTCGGCGATATAGCATTCGATGAGTGTGGGGACACACTGGCACTGTGTATGCCGCTGGTGTGTGACGTAGCAGCAATTGTTATACTTGAAGAGTTCGGATGGGTGTGCGCGAAATGATGATGTGTGTTGGCTGTGTGACTGTGCTCAAGCAAGCGTGAGCAATTTGAAGCATCACTAACACGTGAATCGCTGGAACGAGTATTGCTCTTGGAACGTGTCATTCGTCCTGTAAACGAAAGCCATTAGTAAAAAGGCACTAAAGTACGCCACGCCACAAATGTGGCGTTTCGCTGTGGAGCGATCAAAACATTCGGTGTAAGTTATTTGATAAGGCAAGTTAGGATTTCGACAAATATTAACAATAGCAGAGGGACTGACTGTATGAAATATTTAACGAATTTCATTTGTAATACTCTTAACATATTTTCTACAATAACATCATTTAACAACTTTACAACTTTTTACAACTTCGTATCCCTTGATACGAGTGATGAGTTTTTACCTAAGATAAGACGTAATCTTAATCATTAAGTGAAAGCCATCTGACGTCACATTTGAAGAATTGTATTTATGAGTATAGCAAAGTAGCAAATTAGGGACCTATCAAATTAGTTCGTCATACAAGAAATTCGTTATATCCAAGGCCAAACCTAGGATTAGTAGAATAATATATATTCAGTTCCTACAACAAAAATCTGATTTGAAAAGGACTGTTTCTAGAGTGAAAGCAAATGTCGAACCGGGACAATTTCAATTTAATTCGCAGATTCAATTTCGTATCAATCAGCATTCGACCTTTGTACCGCCACATAGACGAATATATCTGATGAGCCGCTTAACCAACGGCGAAACGCGTCGCATAATGGATACGTAGGTTCTTCCCTGGCTTTCATTTTCATGGCAAAACTTCGATTTTAAGCTCAACTCGAAAGAAAAAAAACTCACTTCAAAATAATTCAAACAAAATGTTTCGAAAATGACAGTTGTTGTTCCTTTTGACAACAACTGATTTAACAATTTTCACTAAAATTCGCAACGATTTTAATAAAAAAATCTTCTCAATCCGAATTTTAGATTAAAATAATCCATATTATAGAATCCGCAATGAGTTGTGAAATGTAGATTAGCGAGGTCCGGATTATCGAGATTTATATAAAGAACATAAAAATTATGTTTAAGAATAAAAAAAAACGTTTGATGTAACATAAATTGACGTACAAATTTTATGGTGATAAAGAGGTCGAATGTAAACCCAGTTTCAAAACTGAAAACACCAAATATGTCTTCACAAAATGTTAGTTTAAATTTATGGATATGGATTTTATTGGTACTGATCATGCGCGACACTTTCCTGTTTTATGTACATACATACATTCATGGAATTAAGCATTAACAATTTATATGCCGTTCAAAAATATAAACAATATCAAAAAGACGTCGGAATAGGGGAATTGTTGTGAGCTGTATTGTAAAAGAACATTAGGTGCGATTAGGGTGCATTGAATACGAACCTGCCTTACCTAACGATGGGTTTGGTGAGTGTGGACGTAAAGAAGCCATACTTGGTTGTCGTGACGGTGCTCTAACAGACATACGCGAACCTCTCCGCTCCTGGCCATGTAGCAATTTGCTCTCCCGCAGCAATGACACGTTCATGAGGCGTGGATTTGGAGTATTGAAAATAGTCCGATTTTCGCGCCATCGAGCCCTGTGTGATAACGGTTATGAGAGTATTGCGTACGCTAAATACGTATGTCTAAATATACTTACTGGCTAAATAGACGAAGCACCACACAAATAATGATAAACATTAGAGCCATGCCAATTAGAACACCAATCATAGCTGGATCTATATAAGTTTCGGGACCTTTCTTATCTTGTCGGCCTAGAATTAAAAATACATATTATATATACATATGTATGTATGTCTTTATAAAATTTCTTCAAAAAAACATCGTTTTCATAGCCAATGACTCAATTAAAGGAAACGAACATATGTAATCGATATACATAATTATAATTTTTTATAGATTTTTTCATTCCAGTTTTAATACAGCAGTCTTATTCCTACTGAGGGTACATACACTTTGATAGGGTAAAAATTTCCCTTATCGAAATATTGGTTTTAGACCCCATGTCTCTTTGAACCAAATCCGTTTCAGACAATTTAGAGTCCATTTACTAATATCCGTTCGTCTGTCTGGCCGGATCTGATGGCCCCATGTTGTCTAAATAAGATCCCTATATAAAATTGGAAAGCTATAACGAACACACAAATGTTTCGATGACTGGTCCTCTATTGTCAAAAATAAACTCTGTAAATGTTGAAAATTGTTTATATTAGGGTAACATTCATTGAAATACATGTATGCATACGCGTGTATTAAGGTGCGAACCCCTCAACAAAATCTATAATTATACGGACGAACCCTAAATATAGGGAATATTTCAGTTTAATTATTGGACTGAAAAACTCCTAAAATAAAATAAAAGCATGCTCATGGCGCCACTGTACCCATCAGAGTACAATCCTAAATACACTTCCGTATTTGCTTCTACATTTTAACTATGTACATATATTCAAGTTTAAACATACATATTTATATAATTTTAATCGTCACTGTATGCACTTGCAATAATAGCATTACTTAATAACTAATCGCTGATAGTTCGAGAGCACATGTTCTAATTGTTAATAAAGTTGCATCATTTTTCCTATCAAACACGGACTAAATGTCAATCAATCTGATTATTTCATTTGTTATCAAGTCGGTAAATGTTATAGCGTTTGCTAAAATTCGACGTATTCGACCGACATTGTTTATCACGACAAATGTTAGGTCATCCCTAAGGCGAATTTCAGGAAATATGCAACCAGCTCATCTACATTATCTGCCAAAAGGTGTTGTTCTGGCGAAAATGTCTTAAAAATGCCATTTATTTATAATTTCGTTTTAGAAATTATCCGGAAAACGCCATAGTTTACAATGTTTTTTTGGAATGCAATATGTTACCCTTACTGGATGCCTCTTTCCAAATTTTAATTTCTAAAAATGAAGAAGGACTCGAGCAACTAGAACACGCACATAGCTATGTTGCCTAGGAGAGGTATTGGTGAATTAGTGATCTGACAAAAAAATCGAAATATCAGTTTTTTAGCCTATACAAACGACAGCCTTAATTTGTATTCAATTTAACTTTTACATTATCCCCAACTTTTTTATTTCGGCCAAATTGTTTGTTCTATTAATCAGCTTAACCCATTAAAAGCCAGCTGCCTTTAAAATTAAAATTTTCATGATTTTTAGTCTGTACCCAAGCAGGTACAGTGGCTCAATAAATACAATTATGTATCCAAATAACCCAAAATCAAATCAAAAGCAGAAAAAATAAATTTCTTAGAGGATTTATGATATTTCAAATATGAATATTTTTCTGTACCTGTGCAAGTACAATGACCATTAATGAGTTAATCAGCTTTCGATACTATATTTTTCTAGATGCTGTTCGTTTACCTTTTGCTATTTTTCTCTTGAGAACGAAAAATTCGTATCTACTCTCTACAAATTCTTACTGAGTAAATACTATTGAGATGGGATAAACGAATGAACCTAATGTTTTAGCTGTTTTTCCAAACGGAATATGTCTTATTTTTTGACATTCTCGCTTTTTGACATGTATTCAATTCATACAGATGTAAATCCAAAAAATATTGGACAAATCTAATATTTTTTCATATTGTCGTTCTAAATGCAGAAGCTGTCGTCTGTCAGAGTAAAAACTTGTTTCAAAGTAAGAATTGTTAATGAAAGTTACTGCATAACGTCAATTTTATTTATGTTTGAACATAAATACATTCATATTTCTGCATGTGTTTGTGCGTATATACAACATGACCATAAAGTCCACATCAAATGTTTGCAACTTATATCCGATGTTCGTTTTAATCGAAAAGTATGTCTAATAATGCGTATCTTGTCTTTCGGCCTTGGTACGAGTAAATTTAAGCAGACACGACAAAAATAATGCTCCACAGCCATTGACCGGCTAGCGACATCTTGGTCACATCCACGAAGCCCCTTCAAAAACACTTGTATTGTATGAAGGGGCTTTGATATCTACAATCTGCTTATGAAACTTATTATTGAGAAATATTAAATGTGTGTGTGTGTGTGTGTGTGAGGGCAATAGCGTTCGCTCGGCCAAAATGATGATGTAAAACATGTCTTACCTTTACACTCAACGGAACCATCTTTTAGCCACACTGGTGTCATATCGAATCGGCATACACAGCGTCCATCTCGACATTCGGTTTGAAAATATTTCACTTCACATTGTTCATTGAAAAAGCACGATTCATTGACTGCTGCCTCTGATGGTGTGAACAAACACATGCAAGTAAATATTATTTGGGGTGAGTGGGGACGGAGCAAGTGAATCGGAAAATATAGTTCTCACCTTTTCCACATTTGTCAAAATGATTGGTAACGGGCAGGTCTTCTGTGCATTGGCATGATTTCTTTTTAGTATCACAGATGGAACCAGGAAATCCGCACTCCAGTGTATTATCACATTTATCGCCGAACTTCTTTTGGCCGCGACTAGCATAATCTGAAATATATATAACTTGAGCAAAGTACATGTACATTTTCAGTAGATATGTCACCCTACGGATAAACTCTCAAATCTACAATATCTACAATAAGTATTAAGGACCTCGGCTTTGCTTTGACATAACAAATGTTTATAAAAATATCTAAACATTAAAGTAAACTAATATATACCATGTACGTTTCGAATTTATTAACTTTCGAAGAATTTTATCTCATCTTCAAAAAATCCGACAATTTTAGTTATTTGTGGTGTTAAGGTTCTATAAATAGGTTAGGCCATCGAAATTAAGCATTGGCTTGTTACATATCCCAAAAACAAACAAAAATGGATCTAATTATATAAGAAGCGGTTCAAGTCAATTTTATAATTCCGATATTTAGTATAGTTCGACAACAACAACAACAATGTACACCTAATTAAATTTAAATGTTGAAATAGTGCTCCTGTGTCGGTGTGACGAATCACCGGGGAGTATGGGTTTGTTATGTACCATAATAAGGGGGCTACACAAATCGAACTACAATCGACACAAATACATATATAGTGTTATGTAGAAGCATGTACATCTACCGAACTTACCGAATTCAGTTGTTGTTTCACCGATGACAATGCCATTGGGCGAAAAGAAATTATCGCCATCGTCTGCGAGAGCCTGTTGCGGTAGCAGAACTGTTGCCGCGACACTGCATAGCAGTAGGTAGGTAAGGGCGCCATTGGTGTTACATGATGTTCCCGTGGTAGTGAGCGGTAAACGTGTTTGGAACGCATTTTTAGAACAAATGCGCTTCAATGAGGCCATAAACGATTGTAAGGTACGCATAATTCTCGCTATTCTATTTGAGTTCGTGGCACGAGAAACGAAACATCCGTTCCGAATACCACCGCCGTTACCACCAGTAACTGTGTTTCCGGTCGAGGGCATTAAGAATGTGAAGCAGAACAGCAATAAGGCAATTTGTTCAAATAATCGGGAAACTAGAACAGATGCGGAGGGCAGTGGACGCCAGTCGAAGATTTCCAGGAGTTTCGAATGAACCTCTAACTTGTTGTCGGGACGCTTCGTGTTTTCGTTGTTACGTGAATTGGTTGTTTGTTTGTAGCTGCTCTTGTTGCCGTGTTGTGGTTGTTTTTGTTGACGTGTTGTGATTGTAAGTTGTTGCTTTTGCTTTGGTATAGTAACGGCGTCTGTTACGTGACATACGCTTCCACCCGAGCCTCCGATGACCTGTCGCCAAGCTACGGTATCCCTATTGCCACAATTTATTAACGGATTTTCTGGTGACACGTTGATCGATACAATCCTGCATGTATTTGCAATTGGCTGCCGTATATTCTCGGGCATCATTGCTGCTCCCTGACTCCCTAATCTTGGTTTAGCGTCATCATGGTACTTGCTAGGCTGTTGTTGTTGTTGTTTTCGCTGTTCTCTTAAGTATACGTGCTTACATCTACAATCCTTGCTGCTGATGGAAGTCGTGTTGATTTGTTTACTGTTCACGCCACCTTCGTTGTGTTCGATGTAGCGGAGGTGATGGCGCTGGTTTCGCTGCTGTTGCTCGGACAAACACTCGCTACGAACATTGCCGCAAATATATTTGGGATATTGTTTATCGCGATACTTTCGTAATTGTCCAGCACCAGGGGAGCTTCCTTCGATGGAGGCTCCGTGGCGGGGCTTTAAAGCCCCATCGAATTTCATATTCTTTCGTCGTCGTGTTCTTCATCCATGCTGTTGCTCATTCGGACTTATAGTTTTCAGATACTAGCCGTCCTGCTGTGTCCGTAGATATCTTAAGTGCTAGCAGTCTCCGTTCGCTTGGGATACAAAACGGCAATGACGTACGTTTCACTTCTTCAGTTCTGCAAGTCTGTAATAAAGCAAGACACATAATTTATTTACTTGTTTGAGGGCAATTTTACATCAAGTCCGAACTAAGAATAAAGTCATATCACATTTGCGTATAAACTCTCAGGGAAATATCTACCCCTGTGGCCACTCCACCCATTAGGCAAATTACATTTTCACAATTCGTGTGCATGACGCACAACTGAGTTTCGAGCGAGGCCAGTGACAACTGAAACGTGAGCTTTGTACGATAAACAAATCGAAATGTTGAAGAACCGAACCAAATTAGATTATACACCCAGACACCAGCAACACCGTCGGGAATCAACACCCTGGATGTGACATCATTATTACCGGACATCAAATTAAGGTTCGCACCCATAAGAAACAATGACATTTGTTTTTACGCTATATTATTTCAACATATAAGGTATCGTTTTTTTTTTTCAAAAATAAGAAGCACTATTGAACACTAAAATACTGGAAATATCTTACGAGAAAATATCGAAGCTGGAACTGCAGAGTCTACCATAATACAGTGGTGGCTTTTGGTGACATTTTAGGATGAGTTGTAGAGTAGCAGTAACATCTTTTGAGAGAGTTTGCTCCCTTGTAAGATTTATTTAGCATTTCAAACCCGAAGTGCCATTTGAATCAATTATTTTAGGTGTTTGATTTTGAAATGTTGTTGTGTGCAGCTGAAAATCTCCAAAAACCAAAATCTTGATCGGATCTTTTATTCATAAACATTTGATTAAGTATCAACTGATTTTACTGAATAAATTGTCCTTGGGAGACTTTATAAATACTCAGTAAAACACCTGTCAAATCTATTCTCTTTAACTGGACATTTGCAAATTATTTATATATACATATACTTGTTAAGTATTGTGTCAATTAATGTGATTCCGTACATACATATGTATACTTGGACTTGACACCTTTGCTATAGGCTTCTACATCGCTTCTGTTGGCGATGTGCCAAGTAACATATCAGGCAACGTTTCCTGTTCAAAACCCCTCGCCATCCATGCGAAAAAAATTCCCATTTAAGCAAAAAAAAAAAAAAAAAACATTTTAAATTATGTTAATAGGTTCCAAAATCATTAACATCACCGATACCCCTTGTATGTTTCTCAGAGAGATTTATTCCCGTCTGATATTAAAACGAAGTCAACAGCTAGCATTTGTTTTTGCCTTCACTGCCATGAAATAATTCTACCATTTACCAAAAATAAATCGAATGTCACTGTTGATCGCCATCCGAACACTGTGTGTCGTTACTTATTATGTTCGTAAATAATAGGGGACTATTTTCGTTATGAGTCCTTATTTGATTCCTCGCTGAAACAGCTTACTGCTGTAACAAATCAGAGTCAACGACGTCTGAAGATTTGGTCGCCAAAAATACAAAAATATGCCGTTTTTTTTAGCGAGATGTGGAAGTAGTACGTCATCGCAGTTGTTATAAGCATGTAGGTCTCACATTTAATATAGCCACCCACAAATAAACAAACCACCCCTCAATGTTCTACCCATTATGATTTAAATTTTCAGGGAAATGGCATGAAATTTACCAAAACGCAAATATACCAAAAATTGTATCAAGTGGCAATGGTTTCCGTAATGGCAACCAATTTATTATTATTTTTGGCTTATTTTTGTTATTAAACGGACAGCCGTACAGTTCTGCTAGTAGTTAAGTTTATGCCTAGTGCCGGTTACAATGTTTGTCTTGTAAAATAGACACTGGCAATAGGAGTTCATATCGAATATTGCTACTTTTCGTTTTTATTTTCTGAAATTAATTTTTTTAAGTTATTTACATTAGATCGTGGCTTGTAACGGTTTCAGGTCGGATTTCACGGTGAAGATGGCTTAATAATTTCTGCGACCTTTGTATTCTCAATGCTATACCTTATTCGTATGGCCGGACTTTACACCGAATCGATTTCCGCATTTCAATTACTTTCTATTGTCAAAAAGATAAATTACAGAGCGTGAAGTGGAATAGCGTCCTTTGGCGTTATGTACACCTCACAAGTGAAAACACGTAAACTGTGTGATTTACCATTGATTGGTGGGTTATATGACGCTAAGACGCTGCTGCTATGGAGGCTACGGAATTGCCAGGCGCTCAAACAAACTACCGCCGAATATACAGGCGAACGCTGTTTCATCCTTTAGCGTATGTGCTGCTATGGTTACGATGCAGTGGAACAATGTGGGAATAGGGTTCTTGGTTTGAGACCTGCTGAAGCGGGTCGTATAGTATAATTTCGCGTATAACACGACACATAGCGTGGCTAAGTGCGATTCAACAAAAAACACAAACGCCAACAATGCCAAGCAAAGGAAAACAATCAAACAGTACCAGCGACGAGGAATTGATCATTGCTGTGGACGGAATGTACATTGATGCTTTTACAGTTTTTTCAATCCATTACCGTCAATACCATTAAGAAATGCCACATGTTAATAAAAATCTGTGCGTTTTTTGCCTCCTCCTCCAGAATTTGCAAATACATTCTATTTTTTGTTTTATTGGAAATTGGAACCTATTCTCCAGTTAACTTTTCAAATCATTTCTATATTAAGAATTATTTGGCTAAGCAAATTAATTCGTTATTCTAACTGTAGTTGCTTTGGAAATACGTATTTGTTTTCCACTGCTCTTCAGGTAGATGATAGTTCGATCAGATAATCATACAACTATACGCAAGATGTTGTTGAAATGCCAGCACTTTTTTCAAACTCGAATATCACTAAATGGGGATATCACTAAATGTTTGTTTCATGCCAAACGTAATTAACGTTTCATTCATGATATTGAATGCAATTTGGATTTAATTTAAAATCATTTGACATATTAGCCATATTTGGCCTCGGGAAAATTAAGATAAATAAGACGTAATCGTAAAGAGGGCACTCAGATTTAGGGACTATAATTTCAAACGATGTAAAACAAACCTTGCAGCTCGCACTACAACTACAACGGATGCAGTCCTATCGGCGATTGCTGTGCTTGTTTCGGCTTTACTTAATTAATTACATTTTCAGACACAGTAGTCCGACGAACCCTCCATTGGGTGTTGCCCATGATAATAAATGGTGCAAAGGAGCGGGCGGGGATCAAAACGTCCCTGCCTCATAAACAAATCACTTGGGATATAAAAACTAGACCCACAAGTGGAAAATAATTACTTTTTAATTAATTCCAAAGACGAGATGGGAAGCATATGCGAATTAGTGTGTTCATCAAATTCCTAAAAAGGGAACAACGAACGTGTGTGTATGTGTGTTCCATATTGTAATTAAGTATATCATCAGTTGGTTGAAACAAACAACAACACGAATACAACCATACAATGTACGCACATATATGCAGAAAGCATGCCTCGCATTATGTTAGGGATTGGTCGGATGGGACGTTCCCCCTATAAATGGGAGCTATTCCCAAACAGGAACCCATATATGTTTGCATTCATTGTTACCCAAGATTGAAATAAATATAAATTTATCAAAACCAATCCACAAACTACCTGTTAACTTACTGGTCTACATTAGCCATCCATACTGGTCCATATTACCCGCCAAGTTATTTTTATTCACAGTTTTGAGCATATATAGTACACACAGTATATATACAGTAGAATCTCGATATAACGCTTTATATATTGTCAGGCCTCATCATTATTATTTGTATTGTATAAAAATAGGCATTCTATTTTTTTTCATTGGGGGAAGAATGCCGAAGGTTTAAAAGTAAGAAGTAGATTGCTTGTGTGGATCTTCAAGGAGTATATCTTCTCAATATTCACTCTGCTATTGTTCATATAGTTAATTTTTTTGCTCTTCAAGGGAAATTTCATTACAAAAACAAATCTATTTTATAAATTAATCTCAATGTATTGGCATAGATTTTCTGGAGCCGTTAAATATATTGAGCATTTGAACTCCATTACTGGTTCCAGTGAGAGACCATCGTGACAAATATAATTGTGAAACATTCAGCGTTTCTTACGTAGGATATCTCAACAGCAACAAAACATGGAATGACAAATATTTACATTTCTTTTTTGCGTTTTTTCCGAACTTAAAGTGCAATGGATAGATAACTCGGCCTTTCGTTTTTGTTTGAGTACAAATACTTTGAGTACACAATGTAATGCAAATGCTCGTTAAATGGCATAAACTTTAAACCGGAATTCTACTATATATATAAACCAGTGTTTATCCACTTCAATGTGCATACCGCATTGATTACACTGTGACACATTTTTCAATTTGAAAATCGAACCAATAGGGGCCGCCAAAATCTGAAAGCTTATGATGGTAAAAGATAACCCCTAGCTGGGTTTTAAATTATTAGCTAAACAAAATTTGTAGATCTTATTAAGGCGTAAGACATTGCTGAAGAGCGAATATCGATATTTCGAGTAGTTCACAAGATTAGCGTAAGTATTAATTGAAAATCCACCCCTTTCCACAAAATCAAAAACGGGTTTAAACAAAAACCTTAGCTAATAATTCAAAAACCCAGCTAGGGGGTTTCTTCTACCATCATAAGCTTTCAGATTTTGGCGGTCCCGATTGGTTCAAGATTTTAATGCTGTACAGGGTTATTTGTTGTGAAACCTTTTGTGTTTCATTGAAGCTTATTCTAAGTACCATCTCAAGCTCGAGTTGTGTTTCATGACCAAATCAATCACGACAAAGCGACATATGATATAGATATTATTGTGAACAACAAAAATAAATCGAGTCTAATTGGCTTTGTTCTACGGCAATCCTCGCCCACATTGCATTTGCATTGAATTGAATCTAAATACTAATGTCAAACAATAGTATTG